TCAGTGTCACAGCCACAGCTAGTGCCCAAGGGATGTTAATAACCGCATTCTGATGGTGGTGGGAGCATTATCCTCTAGGCACTTCCTCAGCGATGTCTCTTGGACTTCTGCAATCTCACAAGGCTTGGGAGACAAGTGTGTTCTTGGAACATGCTGTCCTCTCAGCCTGTGTTGGGCATGATTCTTGCTATACTTTGATGGGCCTCAGACAGGTGTGCCGGTGCTGTTACACAGGGACTTCATGCAAGACTTTTTGGATTTAATGTGCTTCGGCTCTCCGAGAGCACTTCTGCCCCAGTGCTCACGGGTGAGTTGAGAGGAGCCAGGTGCTTATCAGACCTGAGGCGGGTGCAGTCTGAGCCCCAGGGTGCCTGCTCTGGCCCTCACACCTGTGCTTTGGCTGGTCAGCTGCTGAGCGATCAGCTGGATCTCTAGCTCTGTTCTGAATTTTTTGTACTTTATTATTTTGATTGGGCAATACCTTTGCATCTACAAAATCCAGAGGCTGTAAAAGGCTATACTGTGTAAAGTCTTTTGGGCTGCCAGAGGAGCTCCTGTTCTGTTTAAGGATAAACTTGGGAAGGTTTTCAGACAGTTCCCCATTTCTTCACAATTCGTAGTTACAAGATCTAAATGGGAGGCTGAAAGGCCTGCCTTAGGTTTCAGGGGCTCTAAGTTGACTTCATTGAACTCCCAGGACCCCAGGCCTGGCTGTCCTCTGCTGGCAACTGCAGACCCACAGGTCTCACGGCCCCTTCCTCGGCCTCTCATCACCCACACTCTGGCAGCAGCCCAACATCGAAGTCACAGGTGCTGAGATCTCAGCGGCACGTACGTGTTTGTAGCTTCATTTGTGCAGTGTGTGTTTTTATTGGAAAACTGTTTGGCTATTAGACATGTGACTTTATAAAAATACCACATTTCTGTAGTTTTTATTACACCTTAGACAATAGAGGTTTGTTTAGTTTAGGGTTGTTTTGTTTTTTTTTTTAAGATTTTATTTTTAGAGAGTGGGGAAGGGAGGGACAAAGAGAGGAAGAGAAACACCAATGTGTGAGTGAACCATCTATTGGTTGCCTCTTGTATGCTCCCGAGCCAGGGAGCGGGTCCACAACCCAGGCAACCTCTCCTCACTGGGAATCGAACCGGTGACCTTCCAGTTTGTGGGATGATGAACCAACTGAGCATTTGGTTTTATATTGAAGGCAAGTGGTGGGGAAACTGGGGTTTGAATTCTAGAAATCTTCATGAGCCATTTTTCAGAAACCTTTCTCCTCGACAGGATACTCCTTCAAGGGTCCCACCCTAGTCTCTGCTGCAGTTCAGGAAGGTAGCTAGGGTTGAGTGTGGATGTGGAGGGGAGGAGAGAGAAGAGGAGCAGGGTCCTGCTCCCCAGGGAAGGGGCAGGAGAAGGGCACGTGGTCAGTGCCTGGAGTGGAAGCGCCCCTGTGTATGTTCTGAGCATGTGGCCTGCGGCAGTGCCTGCTGTAGGTGCAGAGGACAGCTCAGGGTTGGGGGGACACCAAGGGAGGCCTTTGCCCCATGTGTACCATCATTATGCTGTTGGAATTCCAAAAGTAGAATTCTTTTGCTCTGGAAGATAATAATTAGACCTAGTGATTTTTTTAAAAAAAGGTTTTATTTATTTACTTTTTACAGAGGGGCAGGGAGGGAGAGAGGAAGAGAAACATCAATGTGTGGCTGCCTCTCATGTGCCCCCTACTGGGGACCTGGCCTACAACCCAGGCATGGGCTCTAGACTGGAAATTGAACCAGCGACCCTTTGGTTCTCAGGCAGGCGTTCAATCCACTGAGCCACACCAGCCAGGGCAGATCTAGTGATTTTGATGAAAAGGCAAGTCATGCCTGCATCCTCAGAGGTGATGCCTGGTGTGTGTGCATGCATGTGCTCCCTGGATGTGGAGGGGATTGGAGTATCCAGGCTGTTTCCTCCCTCCTGTTACCTAAAGGTGCTCTAGTCACTCACCTAGTGCAATGCAGCTCTTCTTCCTAGCCTGCTCAGAGCATCCCCAGGGCCTGGCCACTTCCCTGGTGAGTTGGGGCTGCATAGTGGACAGTAGTCAAAATCTCTTACCTGAATCTTGTCACAGGATCCAATCAGATGAGCCCAACTGTGAGACACTTGCAGACGTGTCAAACTCATTTTCACTGGGGGCCACATCAGCCTCGCTGTTGCCTTCAAAGGGCCGAATGTAATTTCAACTCCTTAACAGTTAAGGAGTAGCTACATTTATACAGTCTTTGAGTTGAAATGTAATTTGAGACATTTATACAGTCTCAAAATTATTTCAGACATTTATACAATCTCAAAATTATTTCAGCCCTTTGAGTTGAAATTACATTTCAACTGTATAAATGTAGCTACTCCTTAACTGTTAAGGAGTTGAAATTACATTCGGCCCTTTGAAGGCAACAGTGAGGCTGATGTGGCCCCCAGTGAAAATGAGTTTGATACCTCTGCGCTAGAAGAATCCCGGATGGACATAGGATGGGAGTTTGTGGCGGGTGCTGGCCCTTGTTCCAACAGACTCAGTGTATTAACAGACTCTGTATCACAATTTTCTGCAGACAGGAGTCAAGCCTCATAAAGAAAAGTCCTTTCTCTCCCATTAGGATTCCTGAATGGCTCCCCGCCTGGACAGGGGTACCTTTAGAGATGTTCTCTAGAGGCTCTGCCACTCCCTGTTCTTGACCCTGTGCTGTTGGAATTCACCTGCCACTGGGCATGCGGGGTGGGAGGGTCACTCAGGGTTCAAGGCTTGCTCTGTCTCTAATACGAATATGCCACATGACCTTGGACACAGGTCCTGTCTTTTCTTGGCCTCCATGTCCTCAAAGGATAATTACAACCAGCAACTCACAAGAGCAGGCATATACTTTATAAACACTTGGAAGATGTTCTGCTTCATGATGGCCAAAGAAATAAAAGTAACCAAATGTCATCTTAACATTACAGATTGTGATAGCAGTATCCAAACTTTGCACCATAAATTGGCATCACCCTTCACAAAAGGTATAAAATGCCGGTACCCTTTGACCTGATAATCTCACTTCTGGCAAGTTTAGCCCAAGGAAATAATCCAAGAAATGGAAAGGGCATTGGCCAAAGGTGTTCCTTTTTTTTTTTTTTTTTAATGAAAATAACAAGTAGCATTCTGAATATCTTAGAGGTCAGTCAAGTAAACAGTGATGGGCCCATGTTAGGGAATATTAAAATCGATAGTCATGGGTCTTGCAAGATGGAGGACACGCGCAACATTAAAAAGGCTGAAACTTGCTTGTTACGACGGCCACTGTGTAAACACATGGGTGCCTGTGCATCTTACCAGCAGGGACATGCAGAGAGACTGGCTGCATTAAGATGATCAAATTGGGCAATTTTGTTTTCCTTCAGTTTTTAAATGTTTTATTGACAAATAATCACACACTGTAGTTTCCCCATTTAAAGTGTATAATTCAGTGATTTTAGTATATTCACAGAATTGTGCAACCATCATTATTCAAGTTTTAGGACATTTTCATCACCTCAAAAGGAAACCCTGCCCTTGCTGTTCTCTGCCCATCTATCCCCCAGCAATCACTCATACCCTTTCTGTCTGTATGTGTTTGCCTGTTCTGTATGTTTTAATAAGGAATCACAAAATATTTGGTCCTTTGTGTCTGTTTTCTTTCGCTGAGCACATTTGCAAGGTTCATCCATGTTGTAGTGTGTGTGTCAATACTTCATTCCTTCTCCTGGCTGAATAATATTCCGCTGTGTGGATATATCCAGCTTGTTTATCCATTTATCAGTTGATGGACGTGATGTTTTACACTTCTCAGCTATTATAAATAATGCTGCTGTGAACATTTGTGGACGAGTTTTTGTGTGGATCTACCTAGGAGTGGAATTACTGGGTCACGTGGTAACTCTCCATGAACTGCCCTTCTCTGTAGCAGATGCACTGTTCTCACAGCTGCTCCCTGACCCCCATCAGTGTGTGAGGGCTCCAGTTTCTCTACATAATGCTTGTTACCGTCTTTTTCACTTTAGCCATCCTAGTAGGTACAAAGTAGTGCCTTGTTGTGGTTCTGATTTGCATTTCCCTTTTGGCTTACAATGTTCGGCCTCTTTTCATGTGCTTATTGGACATTTGTTTATCTTTAGAGAAGTGCCTACTCAGATCCTTTGCCCATTTTTTAATTGGGTTGTCTTTTTGCTAATAGGTTAGAATTCTTTATATTTTCTAAATACAAGTCCCTTAGCAAATACATGATTTGTAAAAATTTCCCTCCATTCTGTGGGTTATCTTTCTTCTTTTTGGATGGTGTCCTTTGAAGCACAGTTCTTAATTTTAATGAAATTGAATGTGTTTTGTTGCTTGGACTTGGTCCCTCTGGCCCTGACCCTGATTCATCAGATTTAATATTTAAATCTAGTGACTCCAGGCTTCCTCCTCCCTGGCAGGATTATTTGGGGGCCCCCAACACTGTATGGTTGTGAACTGAACACTGGCAGGCTCCAAGAGGGAGCTGCATCCACTAGGGGAGTCACTTTCACTGGATCTTCTGTGCTGTATAAAATCTAAACAGGTGCTCAGTGAACAAACATTATGAAGGAAATGAGGAAAAGTGTCCACTTAACTGACCCCATCTTCCTTCCCACCCTTTTCACCTAACAAAAAAAAATGGGCAGAAACACAGCCTTGTACAGTTGGCTCTGAGAGCCACTTCTGGGGGCGCTGGTCTGGGCCTGGTGGGGAGAGGATGCAGAGGACCAGCCATGGCCCAGGAGAGGACAGCTGTGAGCAGGGGAAGGGGGGCCCGAGGAGTGAGTATACAAGGAATAAGGGGATGAGAGGACCAGGGGATGAGAGACAGTACTATGCTGGGCAGCAAGGGGGAGCCAGACCGATGAGGGAAGGAGTCTGGCTTCTTGGAAGCCAGGTCTGGCCCAGCCCTGTTGCTGAGGAAGCTGCCCTGTTTTCTCCCTGAAACAGCTCCCCAGAGCCTCAGTCCACCCAGGCCCGCACTGGAAGGAGCCTCATCTGTCTACCAACTCTGAGTACCTGGGATTAGAGGTAAAGTCTCCCAGATCCCCTCCTACAAGGAGGCTGGCACAGCACTCTGAATGTTAAGAGAGGAGGACCAGTGCCTGAACCTCACTGGAGAGCCGTAAATTAGGTTCCTGATGGGGGCAGGGCTCACCTGACCAGCTCTGTCCTCCTTACTGACTGGCTTCTGTCCTTGCCTGGCTGCCCTCACTTACCCTCTTCCACACAGGCAGTGCAGGTGACCACTGAGGTTAGTAGCGTCTTGAGAAATGTGGAGGATGGTGGCCCTGGGCTGGGCACCCGGGCGATATGGGACATCTCCAGGATTAGAGGTAGGGTAGTAACAGCTCTACTGAGGGGAATTGGTCCCAGCCCATCAGCCCTGCTCTGCCTAGTGTGAAGATACGCAAGGAAGGGAGTAAAACATGACCTGAGCCCGAAGGCAGGGGACACCTGCAGTAGGAGCCACAGGAGGCCATGTGCTTAGTCTCAGTGAGCGTGGCTCTCTAAGGACTGCCACACAGCAGCAGCCCCTTGTCACATATCAGTGCCTACTGGCAGTCGGGGAGGTGAGAGCGTAGTTCACTTCCGGGTTTTTCCTCCAGATTCAGAAGCCTCAAAGATGTCTCATGACCCACCCCCTCCTTATCCTGGAGGCCCCACAGCCCCGCTTCTGGAGGAGAAAAGTGGAGCCCCGCAAACCCCAGGTAGGGTTCTGTGCTCTTGAGTCTCTATCTGATCCTGGCCCTGTCCCTTGCCCACTGCTGAAGTTGCTCATGGAAGAGCCCTTCCACCAACAGTGCAGCTGGTGCCCTCTGAGCTTCCTCTCCCTGCTTTTCTCTGTCCAGGCCGAACCTCCCCAGCTGTGATGCAGCCCCCACCAGGCATGTCGCTGCCTCCTCCAGACATTGGCCCCCCACCGTATGAGCCACCAGGTCACCCAGTGCCCCAGCCCGGCTTTATGCCCCCACATGTGAATGCAGATGGCGCCTACATGCCTCCAGGTAAGTTGGGAAGGGATTCACAGGGGAGTTCAGGGGTCTGCCCAGCCCAGCGGGACTGCTATCCAGCCTTTGCTGCAGGCAGGCTGGTGTTCTGTGGTGTTTACTGCTGGGACAGGGGGACATGGGAAGGTATCACAGAGCCAGGTGCTACTGCGAAAGCACTGTGGACGAGCCAGAGGAGCCCAGGGCCCTGCCAGGAGGGATGACGTGTGGGAAGACTCTTCAGGGAACCATGGCAGGTGCTATGGACTCTTGGGTGCTATAGAGGCCACTTCCTTTGAGTCCATGGTGGAGGCCTGGTCTCCTGCTCACCCAGCAGCTCTTCAGAGGGACTGCTTAGGCCAATGAATGGCCCAGGGCTCCTGCACAGCTGTCCCCAGGCCAGGTGGGCCAAGTGGCACTGCAGTGCAGGACCTGACACTGGTGGGAAGGGAGAGCCCTGCATGCATGAGGGACTGCTGAGCAGCGAGGCTTTCCTTCCCATGGCTGAGGTCCTTGAGCACAGCGCGCAGTCCTCAGAGGCAAGGGAGTAAACGTATCGAGCTGACACAGAGGGGAAGTGGGGGCCTTCTTCTCAGCTCTCTGCCATGTCTGGCTAGGTCAAGTATCTTCTCTGTTTTGGTCCCCACAGGGCAGGGACCAGGAAGGGCTAGGAGAAGGTGGATGGTTACCTTGACCCTGGGCCTGGTCCCCAAAGCCTCAACTATGTCCTGGGTGCTGGGGGCCTTGGGGCTTTGTGCTCACCTCTCACGTGGAACAGGTGACAAATCAGTGACCTGTCTGCTGTCTTCTGTGCCGTTCCAGGTTTCTACCCTCCTCCAGGCCCCCATCCATCCATGGGCTACTACCAGCCGGGGCCCTACCCACCAGGGTCCTACCCTGGCCCTGGGGGTCACACAGCCACAGTCCTGGTCCCTTCAGGGGCTGCCACCACGGTGACAGTGCTGCAGGGAGAGATCTTTGAGGGTGCACCTGTGCAGACAGTGTGTCCCCATTGCCAGCAGGCCATCACCACCAAGATCTCCTATGAAATTGGCCTGATGAACTTCGTGCTGGGCTTCTTTTGCTGCTTCATGGGGTAGGTGGTGTCGGTGCTTGGGGAGGGGGGGCAGTGGGGGTTACGCCTGCCCACCACCCAGCTGGAGTAGGTCTGGTGCCCTCGGCGTCTTCTCTTCAGGCCTCCCAATCTCTGATTCAGGTGTGACCTGGGCTGCTGCTTGATCCCGTGCCTCATCAACGACTTCAAGGATGTGACACACACATGCCCCAGTTGCAAAGCCTACATCTACACATACAAGCGCCTGTGCTAACGGAGCTGGACTGGATCCTACTGTCAGTCTGGCCCCCTGTGCTTTGCTCCCCACGCTCAGTGGCTCACGTCCCCAGTCCCACTTGGGGGTGGAAGCTGTTTTACCGCTCCCCTAGAAGTCTTGTCCTCTTTGCCTTGCCCTTCCCTGAGCATCTGACTCTTACGGCAACAGTTCTGTTGGATTTAAGGCCAAGGGTCAGCGAGTGGCAGGGAGCTAGCACTGAGCGTGTGTGTTGCTGGTTTGCTTTAAGAAGATAAACTAGGTAGGGCCTCCCTGCTGGGGTCTCACTCCTTCATTTTTGTATGAGGTACAGGTTTGGTCCTGATTATCCTTGGGACCAAAACCAGCTAGAGCAATGGCTATTTTCCAGACCTGGCCCTACAATGGGACTGCTCCTGTAGCTAGGTTCTGATTTGTTGGGCTGGAAGTAGGGATGTGAGCCCAAATAGGCAGGGTCATATGGCCAGGGCTTATTTCTGGGCTGCTAGAGGTAGGCATGATGGGCAACAGCAATGAGACTGGCCCTCAGAATTCTCAGGAACTCAACACCTTGTCCAAGTGCTCAGGAGCCACCTGGAATAAGAGGTCAGCACAACTGAAGTTCATGGGATAAGTCACCAAGGGACTTGCCTCTGGCCCTTGTCCAGCTCCCTTTCTGGCTGTGCCTCTATGATTATCTTTACGGGGGCCAAAAGGAATGCCCAGCTAGGACCAGAGATGGCAGATAGGGCCCCTCCCTGTGGGTACACTAAAGATTTACAATGGTCTCTCTGTGGATCCCCTCTAGTGAACACTGGGCCCTTCACCCAGGCTGACTCAGTTGCTGTTTTTGCTCCAGGCACTACAGTAGGAGCAACTGTAGCACTGGATTGGGGACCAGGAAGGAGCAGCAGCCACAAGTGGCAGAACTACCCTGGTGGATGCTAATCCTGCCGTGGGCCTGAGGCCATGCTGTCTATTTTCTGAATGGTTTGTCTGTGAACTTGCTCCTGTGGACCCCTGTACCCTGCTGCCACCCCTCTCTCCTGGTCTCACACTGCCACTGCATGGCATTTTGTCACTGTGAATTGTGGTCAGTCTGTTTGTAGATTCTCATTAAATTGGTCCTTTCATTCCCTGCCTTGGGTCTGTGCTCTCTTGCCTAGCTTCCTTCTTTTGCAAAGGAAAGAGGGTGGGGCTACAGGTAGTCTGAGGGGAGGGGCCTGGGGGGTCGAGTCGTCAGGGTCTCAGTGCTTACGCTGTACTGACTGCCCATGAATGACACTGGCACTTAAGTACCTAATTAAACCAAGCCAGAGTTAGTGTGGACAAGCCTTGGCATTCCAGCAATGGCTGGGCCAGGGCATGTGTTGGCTACCTTACTGATACTGGTTTTACCCATCTCCACACCACAGCATTGGCCCAAGATAGCTGGAGGATGGAGCAGCCCAGCTCAAGCTCAGGGTCATCCTACCCAGGAAATAGGTAGCTTTGTTCCCTTACATAAGACAGAGGCAGTGGGGCTAAGGCTTCTGGGGGAGGCGGGACAGTTAGTCTGGGCCCCAGGTTTTAGACCAGCTCTGTCCCTACCTTCATCCAAATTGTGGAAGTAGGTAGGTTTGGTCAGAAGTTTAAAATGGAAGCTTCCCCACCATTTAACTCTTTGTGAATAGAATGTTTGCAGATCCTCAATATATAAAACAAGTAATAGATTCCTATTAATAAAAATATTTAAGTTCATATTTCTATTTAAGACAACTGTTATATAATGTGGGTACATGGTTTTTAATGATTATTTATAAGGTAACCAACCAATAGTCTTGGGAGGACAGTAGGAGGGGCTGTCAGGCACCAGCGAGGACAACATCCATGCCAGGAAGGAGGAGACAGCTGTCGAAGAGTCTACTTTTTATTGAATGCTGTAGCATGACACAAGTCAGAAAAGGAGCAAGGCCATGGCTAGACACATCCTTTTTGGGGATTTCTGCTGAAGAGGGATGAGGACTGGCTCCCAGGGCTTCTGGCTTCTGTTCCCCCACTTCACCCCTAGGAGAGCCCTGCAAGTAGAGCAGGAGCATCTGGGGGCCCCCCTCTTTTCCACAGAGCGACAGCAGACTTGTCTGGGCCTGACTGGCTATCCTCCCAGCAAGGGAAAGATACCTACCTAAATGCTGACACAACAGAAAAGGAGCAAACCTCAGGTGAGAGGTGCGGGCACCCAGAAGCACAGCTGGTTCCACAGGTCCAAGCCAGTCCACTGAGCGGCACTAGCTGTTCCCAATGCTATAGCCTGCAGGCTGCAGGGAGGGTAGGCCTGCACCCAGCTCAGCATCTGGCCCAGAGAGGACACTAACAGGCAGAGGCTTTAGTGTCTGGCTTTTATTGGATGTTTTTCTCAAATCCAGCATATTTTTTTAGTTCACCTGAGGTGGTGGTTTTGTCACAGGTGGAGGTGGAGGCAGGCCAGCAGTCACTCAGTAGGAGGGCACCAACATGATATGATGGTCTCTCACATGTAGTACCAGGCCAAGAGGCCAGCAACCAGAGCCACACTAGTGGCCAGAATGAGCTGGAGGCTAGGCTTGCTCAGCACAGCCAAGGCTGTTCGGAAGGGACAGCTGCTACCCTCCAGGGCACCTGTGTGGCAGCACCAACAGGGAACATGGCATCAGTGGGAATGTTGACACACCCATGCTGAAAGTTTTAGTTTTGTGGCAGACAAGACCTACCTCCGTCTTGTGCAGCAGCATAATAGGGGCATTTACGCACATCTCCTTTCCCATTGTGCACGGGGAGCCCATCCTCCAGGGTGTCTTTGGCGAGCAAGGAGCCAGCCTGGTCCAGTTCATTGAATATCTGTAGGAGCAGAGAATCAGCACCATTACTGGACTGCATACACTGCTTTCAAAGAAATCTCTCCTGCACAGAGGGAACTACAGCAGGTAAGGCGTGCTCAGGAGTACAAACCAGCAAAGCAGCAGCTCCACTCAGGGACAGCCACACTGACCTGGCGCTTCTCCCTAGCACAAGCTCTGGGAAATAGGCCCGTACCTGTGCTGTCCCGCACCCCATGGCTGCTGACCATGGTGGATCATCCCTGGGCACTGACCACACACAGCTCACGAGAGAAACTATCAGGAAACAGACATAAGAGCAAAAGTGCTGACCCAAAACACTCTGTGAGTAATGGTACTTCCCCAATTCCAGCCACTGGGTATTTTTTAGCAAAAAAAAAAAAATAGAAAAAGGAACGGGGAAGAATGAAGCCCCAGAAGTGGTGACCCATCCTGAGTGTACCCTGGAGACCTGCTGTCAGATTAGAGGGCTAACAGGACTGTGGTCAGGCTGGTACTTCACTCCCTCACCCCTCCAGGGCCACTTTACTGGTGCCCACTAAAGAAATCAGCCTTCCCAGCCTCAAGACCATTTAAAGGGACTTGTAAACTGATTTATGCTCCTCACTCTCCTCCGTTCTCTCCTTGAACATACCAAGCAAGATTTTTCATAGCAACCCATGCTAAAAAGGAAGAACTCCATTTCTCAAACCCATAATCCTGTAGTGAGAAGGAAGGAGACAACCCCATTCTCTCCAAGCCCACTTCATGGTAAGGCCTTAGTCTTCCCAAAATATTACACAAAGGCAGTCTATCAAGCAAGGTGGAGCCATCACTAGACTCCTGCTCTCTGTGGCCTGTTTGGTCCCTCAACTTCCTCTCAAACCAGCTGCAGTGCATCTGTCCTAATGCACCAAAGCCTATTTAAGCAGCTCTGATCAGCTCACACTGAGGCCCCTTCCCACCCGGCCCCCAGCAGTACCTGCATGTTGTACTCAAAGGCCTTGTTGGCCTCCTCCACGATTTTCTCTTTGGTTTCCAGGTTCAGGTCCAGAGCATTCATCCTGGCCCTGTAGAACTGCTTGAACTGCTGTGCATTGTCCACATTCTCAAACAGGTAGAACTGGGTCCCCTCCCCTGTGCTGGGGAGCTTCAGGGCCCGTTGGGCTACCTTCTTGAGCACCTGGCCCCCCGAAAGGTCCCCCATGTAGCGGGTGTAGGCATGGGCCACCAGCAGCTCTGGCTCATTCTGCCCCACATAGTGGATCCGCTCCACGTATTTGTGGGTGGCCTCAGAGCACTGCACCTGCTCCTGCCAGTCCTCACCAAAGAAATACTTCATGTCTTTAGTCAGCGCCTCCTTCCGGTGCAGCTCCATGGGGAAGTACAAGGGGGCAAAGGCTGGATGGTCCTTGTTGCGGTCCATTTCCTCCTCAAGGGCTGAGTATGTGAAGTAAAGTGCAGTAGTGGCCAGCTATTGAGGGTGATGGGGACAAACCATGGAAAGAAAGGGCTGTGGGTCCTGGCGTGTATGTGGCTCCTGAGCCTACCACCGACTGCATAGGAGCAGCCGGAGACAAAGGCTTGGGCAGCAACTCCCGTTCAAATCCCCAAAGGCCCATTTTTATAGAGAATTATTTCACACACCCAGGAAACTGTTATGTTTCTTAAAGGAATGACATGAACTCTTTGGAACATGGATACTTTTGCTCTCTTTACATCACTTTCGTAACCCACTTAAGCCATGAAAACTATGGGCTGACATCAGAAGAAGAGTGGAATGTAAGAAAGCCTCACTTTCCCCTTGGAGCTACTCCAGGGGGACCCTCCTCATGGGACTAACCCCCCCGCAACCTGACCCCATCATCCCTGACTGAGGCACAAACCTTAAATAGCTCCTTCTTGATGTTGCCTTTCAAGAAGTCCTTGACAAACCGGGTGTTTTCTGCCCGGTCATGTGCTTCCTTGGTTCCTTCCTTCAGGAGCTCAGAGAGGTCGGCCATCCTACAGAGCAGTGATTTTCAAACTTTTTAATCTCATGGCACACATAAACTAATTACCATATTTTGCTGTGGATAATGTGCACCCATGTTTTTGTATGCATTATATACATGGGATTATTATACCCATGGTATGTAATCACTATACCCATGTATATAATGTACATCCTTATTTTTCCCTCATAAATTTGGGCAAAAAAAGTACACATTATATATAGCAAAATATGGTACTAAAATTGTGCAGCACATCAAAAAATATATTTTTTGCTAATCTAACAAAAAATAGGTACAATTTTGATTTACAAAAAGTGACAGTAGTAGTAATAACCTACACTCTTTGCTCCAAAGTGACTTTTTTTTTAATCCTCACCCAAGGTTATGTTTACTGATTTGAAAGAGACAGACAGACAGACATCAATGTAAGAGAGAAACAGCAATCAGTTGCTTCCTGTACGCACCCCAACTGGGGATTGAATCCACAACCTGGGTATATGCCCTGATAGGGGCCAAACCCACAACCTTTTTGATGTACAGGATGACATTCCAACCAAGCCACCTGGCCAAGGCACTCTACAGTGACTTTTTAAAAAAATCAGATGCCTATACTTATATGTAAGGATTTCTGGTACCAAGAATTAACCAATCAGACACAACCTTATGCAACATGACCAATAAAATGCAACTCAATTATATGATCTATATATTTATGGTTCAAGACACAGCAGTCACATGGGACTGCTATTGTGTTATTAACATTTTTTAATTTGACAATCTAAGGGAAAAGAGGTCAGTGCCCCTGATTAGCCAGGTATTACATGTTTTAAAAGTTCTTGTAGCACACCAGTTGAAAATCACTGCTGTACAGAAACCAGGTACGTGTGTGCATGTACATGTGTATGTATGCGTGTGTAAATTAGTCCCTCCCAGCCCCAGGGTCTCTGGCTTGCTAACCTGTAACCTGGTAGGCAAGGGCTGCTGAGAAACTCGACTCCAGCCTAGATGCAAGGTCTTGCCAGGAAGCCCAGGGCAGGCAGATACAAGTCTGCTTCCAAGAGCTTGTGTGAAATGTGGGATGACAGTAACCTATTTCTTAATGGTGTCCCTGTCTCTCTTAACCATTCAAATGAACGATGCTTTGTTTTTGTGTCCACCTGGTACCCAAAGAAACACACCTCTTATCCAAGCATGCATTTGCTGACTCCTCCAGGGAATAGCCAGCCTTTGGGAATGTGTCCCCTAGAATGCACACCATTGTGAAAGACTGACTATGGATCTCCTGGCATAGCCTTGCTGCCTTCCTTCCACCTTGGACCCTCAGCCCCTCCGGGACTACCTGTGTCTGGGTCCAGGTGTAGGATGAGAATGAGGTAAATGCTGGCAAGGATAGAGCCAGGCAGGACCTACATGTGTGCTGCTTAACAAAATTACACAGGATGGAGTTATGCTGACAGATGCCAGTACCAAACAAGACAGAGAACACGTGACCCTAAAGATGGTAGCACTGGGCAGGGGCTTCTGTGTACACATAATCCATCCACCAGAGTGAGAAAAACTTGGCCTTTCAAGGCCCAGCCTCCCTGGTTTCTTCAGGAGATTGGCTGATCCTGACAAATGTTCAATCATTTCCAAATATAAAAAGATCTTTGCCAATGACAGGGCTATAACGATAAGAATAATGAAGAACAGCCCTGGCCAGTGTGCCTTGGTTGGTTGGATCATCATCTTGTAACTGAGGGGTTGTGGGTTTGATTCCCAATCCCTGGTCCAGGTCCAGACATATACAGGAGGCAACTGATGGAAGCTTCTCTCTTGCAACAATGTTTCTTTCCCTGACTCTCTCTATATATAGAAGCAATGAAAAAATGCCCTCCTATGAGGATTTAAAAAAAAAAGATGAAGAACAGGTCCCAGTAACTTGAGGCTTAGAGGAACTGGCCCTACCCAGTAAAAAAAACAAAAACAAACAAACAAAAACCATGAAACACCTGGAGTTGGAGCTGCTCCCACATTCTGAGGGTCTAGAAGATACCGGAAAAGATCTTCTAGATACCAACTTTGCTTCTAGTTACTATTTCTCTTTCTCAACCCAGATGACAAAACGCTTAGGGTTTTCAAAGAAAAAAGGACCAGAAACACCATCAAATTCTGTTACTCAGCACCGCTAGCAGTGCCTGCCCTGTCTCCCTGGAGACACACAGGGAGAATACTGAACAGCCCAGGGTGCTGTCTGCTGTCACAGTCAAACATTTCAGGGGCCACAGCAGCACAGCTCCTGACTGTACCCCAGTGCTCCAGTACACACAGCCAAGTATGCTGGGCATGGCAGGCCCTGGCTCAACACAGCCAGCCCTCATCACTTACCTGGTATGGTTTTCTCTTTCTGGGGCCCCAGAGCTCTCTTTCTCCGACTCCTCTACTCCCTCTGAGGTCTCCAGTTCCACTGACATTGTTTCCAAGTGTGGTTCTTGCTGCTCTTACTCCTCTGGCCTGTAGAGACACAAGGAGCAGATGATGTGGCACCCATGGCAGTTACTTTTCCAAGTACCTGCTGGCTCTGCCCACCTTGAAGAGTCACCCACACACCTCCCGAGTGTTTTCTTTCTAAATAAAACTCTGCTGTTGCTGGGACTAAATTCAAATATGGACAGAATTTGATTATGGATGGTGATTAGGTAGTAGCACTGTATCAGTGTTGAATTTGCTTTTTTTAAATTTTGTACTTTGATTATGTAAGGGAATGTCCTGGGTTTTTTTTGTTTGCTTGTTTGTTTGTTTTTTTTATTGATTCTAGAGAGGGGAAGGGAGGAAGAAAGGGAGAGAAACATCAATGTGAGAAACATTGATCAGTTCTTGCACATGCCCTGACCAGACACCAAACCCCCAACTCAGGCATGTGCCCTTACTGGGAATCGAACCAGTGACTCCATTTTCAGGACAATGCCCACCAATTGAGCCACACCAACCAGGGCAAGAATGTTCTTGTTTTAAGGAAGTACATACTGAAGTAGTCCAAAGTAAATGGGCAAGCCATCTGCAACTTACTGTCCACTGGTTCAGAGAACATTTGTGTGTGTGTACATGCATATGCATACAGGCGGAGAGGGAAAAGAACATATACAAGTAAAGCAAATGAGGCAAAATGCTTATGGTGAACCTGTAATAAACAGTACATGAGAGATCTTTTTTCTGCATATTTGAAATTATATGAAAATTAAACATTACTTAAAACATAACATATACAAATAATCTTAGATAAAGCTTAAAAAAATAAAGCACAGCAGCTCTGATTTGACAGCAAGCACATTTACACCCAGCCCATCCTATCTGTTAAAAGGTAGGTGGGCCCTGGTTGGTGTAGCTCAGTGGATTAAGCACCAGCCTGCAGACCAAAATGTTACCGGTTCAATTCTGGGTCAGGGCACATGCCTGGGTCCCCAGTTAGAGGCGTGGGATAGGCAACTGATTGATGTTTCTCTGGCACATTGATGTTTCCCTCTCCCTCCTTTCCCCATCTCTCAAAGATACATAAAATCTGGAAATAAAAAAGGTGGGGTGGCCTCATGCAGAAAGCGGTAGAACAGGGCACTAACTAGACCATTAAGCCAGGCTGTTCTTAGTAGCTCCACTTTAAAGCAGAGCAGGTCAAAAGGTACCCAACAACCTGCATCGGCTACTCTGAAGCACCAAGCAAGCAGACTTTCCCCAGCCTACTCCACATTCTGCTGGGCAGAAGGAAATAACACAAGTTGGCTAATCAGTCCTGCTGCCTGCTGCCAGGACCGGGCCTCTGTCAGCCAGGGAAACATGGTCCCACTATGTGACAAGCTCATTCTTCACCCTGGAGGCCTCCATTCTTCCAGTGCAAAGGGAGAGCCCATGTGGGGACTTGCCAGATGAACAGCACAGGTGCACCAATAACTAATAAAGTAGCTCACAAAATCAGAACAACCAACACCGATAGCCCATAATCCTGAAAATTTAGCTGACTGCTGTGATGTAAACCAGCTAGATATAAGAGATTTAAAAATGCTTTCAATTCAGTTTTGACTATTCATTTAGCATCTCTTTCTCGTAAAAACTGGCTCAAGATAGAATAGATACATTTATTTATATATAACAAGATTAGATCTAAAATATCATTTGTGATAAAGCAGTCCCAAGTTTCAAGTTCTGTCTTGGCATTTTTCGCATTTGGCCAAACTAACGGAAGTTGATACAAAATATTCTGTGGCTCTTTTCTTTTTCTTGTTGTTGTTTAGTTTTTATTTCATAATCATGAACAACTCTGCAATCCAGTGAGACTTGGAAGGGGTAAGGAAAATTTGGAACCCAATGAACTGCAGTGAATACACAAAGATTATTGAACGTTCCAAGCAGATGGGGGTGAAGGAGTGCTCTCCTGAGCTATAGAATGAATGGGCTGGTGGTTAAAATAAAACACGAGTCAACTTTATTAGAGTTGTCCATAATCAGTAATGGTGATCTTCTTGCTGGTCTTGCCATTCCTGGACCCATGGCGCACCATGGCTGTCACAACATCCATGCGTCTTTCACGTGGCCAAAGACCACATTCCTGTCGTCCAGCCACTTGGTCTTGGCAGTGCAAGTGAAAAAGTGGGAACTGTTTGTATTGGGCCAGCATTTGCCATGGACAACATGCCAGGACCTGTGTGCTTCGGGATGAAATTCTTATCATCAAATTTCCCCCTGTAGATGGACTTGGTGCCTGTGCCATTGTAGTATGTGAAATCACCACCCTGGCACATAAATCTCCATGATAATTTTGTGAAAGCAGGAAACTTTATAACCAAATCCTTTCTCCCCAGTGCTCAAAACATTAAAGTTTTCTACTGTCTTTGGAACTTTGTCAGCAAACAGCTCGAAGAGGTCTCGGCCCAAGGGCTCACTATCAGCAGCAAAGTCACAGAACACTATGGGGTTGACCATGTCTGGGCACCAGAAGATCTGGGGAGGCAGTGAGGCTGCAAGGCGGGGTTGTGGCTGTTTTGTAATTTGTCATCTTATTGGATTTTTTCCTCCATTTTCCTTATACTTTCAAAAAAAATGCTCCTCATTCATGTCTAATTCATGTTCACTTTCTTCACTAGAACTATCTTGCTTGGTATCCGAATCTTCTAAACAAACTTCCACCTAATCTTCATCTTCTGAATCACTTTTTCAGTTTGACATTCAACTCTATCATTCTCATCATTGGACTCAAGTAGCATTCGCTAAAGTTCTTCAACATCTCTTGGTTTATTGATTGATATGTTTTTCCAGCCATTTTTAGTGGTCAATTTAGAAAAACACAACACTGATTCCATGCCTGGCTTGCGGGCCAGGTTTCCAGCTGGGGGCACATGAGAGGCAACTGACCCATGGTCTCTCATGTCTCTCTCTTTCTCCCACCCTTCCCCCCTCTCTAAAAACAAATAAAGAAAGAACTTTTTTAAAAAGGGGGTAAAAAAGCATACTAAGTCTTTAACATGGGCTAAAAGCACCAGCTGCCTGGGGGCGGAGTGTGGAGAACATTCTTGGCTCAGTGTCAGCACATTCAAACCATACTGGCTGGGTGCCCGGAAAGGTGGCCTCTGTCCATCCCTGTGGTCTGGTCACTGTTCCTCAAAAGCATGACCATGTAGTATGGCATTCAGAAGCCACCTTGCAACGTCAGAAACAATTCACTTCATTCTCTGAAAGGTTACGTGTCCTCACTTAGTCTGACCTCCACACTCCAATCCTTTCTGTCTTTGCAGGAACCACTGGAATCCCCAGATGACTGTTTGGAGGGCAAATCACTAATGTAGAAATCTTCTAGACTTTAATCCCTGTCTACAAGAAGCTGCCCCACCCCACCCTACTCCCAACAAACACAACCAAATGATCCCAAAAGATTCCACTCTGGGAAATAGCTCCAGGAGTATTATTTGTTTAAAAAAGGACTGTCCTGGCTAGTGTAGCTCAGTGGATTGAATGCTGGCCTGCAAACCCAAGGGTCGAGGTTGGATTCCCAATCAGGGCATGTGCCTGGGTTGCGGGCCAATCCCAGTAGGGGGCGCACTAGAAGCAACCACACACTGATGTTTCTCTCTCTTCCTCCCTCCCTCCCCCTCTCTACAAATAAATAAATAAATAAATTTAAATAATTTTTTTTTAAAAGAACCAAAAATACTGACTACAACTATTTGGAAAAAATATGTAAATATACTGCTAGTGACAGGAAGGGAATTTGGAAAGCTATAAATATTACTTTTTTAGCCAACTGGCAGCTCCTTTTGTATAAAGTGACTCAGTGCTCTTGAAAAGGGGGAGGGAAAGGTAGGGAGAAGGGGCAGAGATAGAGAGGAATCAGACCAAGCAAATCAGCTAAGACCCTGCACTAACAAATCAACAGGAAGTTCCCTGGGCCCTATACTTTGCTCTTACAAATTCTGAAGAGTTTGATCTGACCCCTCTACTACTACCAGAAAGCTGTGACTGTTTATAAAATCTACCTCCACAACTCCATAATTCCTGGTACTCCTGGCTGTTCATCTGATCATTACTGGTTTTCACTCCCACACCTGATCTGATAGAAATGGCAACAGCATCCCTATCACCAATGTTCCTTCCAGCAGATCCAGAACACTCTTTTCAAACACTTTGCCTCTGACAAACTACAGGCCTAAGGCACAAGGGCTTCTGAAACAGACACATTCAAATATATTCAATCTTCCTCCACGGAGACTCATAGAAAAACTTTGAAGGTCAGTTAACTTAGTGCACTATTGCCAGGGGAAACCATTTAAGGACTACATTATCACTCATTCCATACCTGGTGATACAAAAAGGCATGGTAAAGATTCAGCTATAACAATTCTGTTTTGTATTCTTGTTCTTTTTCTTTGTCCTGGAAAACCAGTTGCTGAGCTAAGTAGGCCAGCACTAGAGTGGAAGGTAGGTGAAGGGGGAAGGAAAGGCAGGGCAACTAGCTCCCTAGAATTAGAACAATTCCCCCTAGACTCTGAAATTGTGACACTCCATATGAGTGTCACATGTTAGCATGAGCTAACGTGCCTCATCAGATGCCACAACATGAGCTAGTGTGGTTATCCCACATGTGCGGAGTAGGAAACAGCCAGAGGAGATTAAGTGGCCGCTTAGACTCCAGCACTGGGTCCCCTGCAGCTCTCTCTCCACTTAACAGCTTGTGGTTGGACATCAAGAGGACTTACGTACCTCCCAGAGAGCAGTTAGTGGCTCAGAATTCACTCCTGTACTGGTATCACATTAATGAAAGATTTTTTTAAAGAAAGAAGTGATTAATCTTTGGGTTCCACAAGTGCCCTTGTCATATTTCCCCAGCTAAACCAGAAGCTTCCTAAGTGTCAGAGCATGAAGACTCCCTCAGACTCAGTTTTCTCAGGGTTCAATACCATGTTCCAAATCACTTAGACACATCAACGTAAGTTATAACTGCTGCAGATGCACAAATGGACTGCCTACTG